GCAGCCTCAGAAGAACAAAATCATGTGACCTATGACATCACGTCAGTATTTATTTGACAGAAACTAAACCAAACCGACTCCGCCCCCTGATCCAGCAGCTTGTAGCTCCTCCTCCAGAAGCAATCCAGTGATGGTTTCTATGACATCATCAGTCTGTCACTTCACTGTGGAGCAGTTTTCGCTCTTTACAGCGTTGCTTCATGCAGACGTGCAGCTGCAGACGTGCTGCATGCAGACGTGCTGCATGCAGACGTGCTGCTGCAGACGTTCTGCTGAAAACGTGCGGCTGCAGACGTGCGGCTGCAGACGTTGCTGGCTGCAGACATGCAGCTGCAGACGTGCTGCATGCAGACGTGCTGCATGCAGACGTGCAGCTGTGCTCAGATCTCAGTTCGGTCCGAGCTTTATCTGTGAGACGGCCTCACGCTGCATTTGGTTTCCTTCATGTGTCTGTAGTTTGTTCAGTCTGTTTCTGATCATGACCTTTAACCCTAACACGCTGACTGCGGCCTGCAGAGTCTGAGAGAGCTCTCGGGGTTGCCGTGACGCTCACTGGCTTTATAATACTGGACTTCAGATCGGAGATGAAAACTCTTCTTTAAGATCCTGATGTTTCCTCCTCTGTGTTCACACACCTGAGCGATGCAGACCTGCAAACTGCCAAAACATCTACTTTTCCAGAGGCGTGTCACTCGCTGACGGTCAGGCAGCAGCTGAGCCGCTCGCCTGTGGAAGCTGATAACGACACGCTGTCACGAGCTATTGTTCGTCTGAGGCTGCGTTTAAAGACCAGCTGACTTTTACCTGTCCTGACACATGAGTGTGGACAGACTGTGACTGTAACGACGGCGTTTCTGTCCTGCAGGGACGGACGAGGACATCTGCAGCATCAAGCAGCTGTTTGAGGACCAGCAGCCGGCCGGAGCGGATGCATCTGAACTCGTGTCAGATCACCTGGACAGGTGCTGCGTCCACAAAAACCTTCTGATGAGTTTGTGTGTGTGACGAGCGCCCGTCTCCTCCTTTGTCCGCAGGTTTCTCGAGCTGTTTGAGTCGGCTCAGTACGAGGACGCCGCTCTAATCGCCGCCAGAGCTCCTCGAGGAGTCCTGAGGAGCATCGACACCATGGAGATGTTCAAAGGTGGGAACAGCAGCTGTACAGTCATCAGGGCTCTGATTGTGTTGATTTCATGCAAAGATGAAATTCGTCTGACCCAAAGCACGGAAACAATCCCAGAGACTCAATCTGAGCACAGAAGGAAGCGACCTGTACACCCACCCACTGCTGGAGCCTCTGGTGGACGTTAGAGGAACTGCAGCTGGTGGTGCTTCATGAAGGTACTGCTGTGTGACGACCTCTGTCTTCTTTCAGGTGTGGAGGTCCTCCCGGGCTCGCTCTCCCCGTCGTTTCTCTTCTTCTGGGCACTGCTGTTCACTGCCGGAGCCGACAGCGAGCTGTCGGCTCCGCTCTCCCTCCAGGGCGTCTCCTGTGCCCTCCAGAGCGGCGCCCTACAGCTCGTCGGCTACGCCGTCACCCATAAGAAGTCAGTTTCATGTCAGTGTCATCGCTTTCCCTGCTTCTCCTTCTTTACACTCTCTCTGCTCTCAGGCTGACCTTCACCGAGGAGCTGGGCGACATCCTGACTGAGCATGCTCAGGAGAACCCCGGCGTGGC